AAGACGGACTCCGCCACTGTTCACCGGTGGGTCAGCGACGCTCTGAGCGGGCGCGCGAGACTGCGAACCAAGGCACATGGAGAGATGCTTATCCGCCGGCGGGTCGACGTCATCAGGCAGCTGGTCGCAGAGCTGGGCATTTCTCTCACCGTGTCTCTAGTCCGCTCGTCTCAGAACCGTTCGGACACGCTGACCCGAGTGCCGTCCCTGTGGTTGCGTCAGGACTCGCAGCCAGCGGACCAGCGGCCGAGCGATGGACAGCCAGTGGCAGCAGCGGCAGTGGTTGGATCGGAAGTGGGAGACGGCGGCGGCGCCGTTACCGTGGACTTCCGACAGGCCGTCACTGACGTACATGTCAGGGCGGGTCACCCGGGTGTCCGACGAACGCTGTATTTCGCGCGTCGGGATGTGTCATCGTCGATTTCCCGGAAAGTGGTCAGGGAAGTGGTGACGGCCTGTGACGTCTGCCGCGCGGTTGACCCGGCGCCGGTGACCTGGAGGCACGGGTCGCTGGCTGTGGAGGGGACGTGGGACCGGCTGGCCATCGATGTCACGCACTACGGTGGTCAGTCCTACTTGTCGGTGATAGACTGTGGCCCGTCACGGTTTTGTGTGTGGAGGCTGCTGCGGCGGTCGGACGCGGCGACAGTCACGAGTGAACTCGAACAAGTGTTCGCGGAGCGAGGCGCACCGGCTGAGCTTCTGGCGGACAACGACACCGCTTTCCGCAGTCGTCAGTTCGCCGCTTTCGCTGCCCGCTGGGGAGTGCTGCTGCGTTTCCGCGCAGTGCATCGCCCCAGCGGGAACTCCATCGTGGAGCGGAACCACCGCAGTGTCAAAGTGATCGCGGCGCGGAAGAAGTGTGGCATCGGAGAGGCCGTGCACCTGTACAATATCACGCCCCGTGACGGCGGGACGGCGGCTGAGGCGCCCGCCAACGGCATCTACCGCTACCCTGTGAGGGACGCCGTGAGACAAAGAGCTACCGCCGGAGCGTCCGAGGAGGCCGTGATAGGACGGCCGCCAGCCCGGCGGGAGGGCGACTTCCAGGTGGGGGACGCCGTGTGGGTGAGGCGGCCGGGCACCCGCTGCACCGAGCGGTCGGTTCGAGGAACGGTGTCTGGCGTGGTGTCGCCGCAGGTGGTTGAAGTGGGCGGCGTGCCTTGGCACATCAGAGACCTCCGCCACTGCGGTGACACCGGGGGACCAGCAGCAGGCCCTCGGACCCCCGACCGGGGCAGCGGGGGCCCACAGGAAGCGGAGGAGGACCGTGCCGGGTCCCCGATCGTCATGACATTCGGTTATGAGGGCGATGGCGCGCCGGGGCGCCCGGTGGAGGAGGCTGATGATGCGGGTGGTGAATGCGGCCGGTCTGAGAGCGACAGCGGCGAAAGGGTGGTGCGCCGAGGTCAGCGTAATCGGCGGCCGCCTGACTTCTTCGGCCACGTGGTGCCGATTGATGCGTTAAACAGCAGCAGCGGAAGTGATGATCTTGAGGATCAGGGTGAGGTGTAGTCTGTGTCTTAGTCATTGCGTGGTTCGAGCGATGATGGTGCGCGTCGTATTGCGAGCCAGGGTCTTATGGCGACGGTGAGTCGGCGGAGGGAGAAATTGATCAGCCTTTGTCTAGGGTTCAGAATGACGTGATATGACGTGATATGACGTGTACAGAGGTATGATCTAGGCTAATGTGGTGAAGCCGGGCAGTGCGCTCCGGGACACGAGCGGGTACGGGTGTGAATAGAGGCATCTGAGTGTACTGGACTTTTTGCATTACTACAGCGTATTTGGAATGGGCGTCCTCCGAGGGCGCCCTCCATCCGTATTTTCCCTGTAAACACATTCGCGATTGGAGGGCGCCCTCCAGTCGCGATTGTTTTTCGATTCGATTATATCACAATTGCATTTGCGATTGGAGGGCGCCTTCGGCGCCCTCCAATCGCAAAGGGCGCCTTCGGCGCCCAAGGGGGGGCCATGGCCCAGTGGCCCCCCCCCTGCCTACGCCCCTGCCTTGTCGCACACATCGCTTCTCCAGGCCAGCTACTGTCGTTTTTTTTTCTGTTCGGTTCATTGACACTCGTTTCACCGCTTCGAACTATGGCAGCTGCCGTTGAACTGAAGATATTTACGATAATTGTCGGGCATGCAGAAGCTGGATCCGTAACGAAATAGCCATCACGTATCGGTAATCACATTTGCCGGCGTGACAATGATGCATTTGGAAAATTCCTGAAATCGCCTGCCGTCTTCGGGAACCGAACCAGACATCCCGGCGGGCTGTTGATCGCTGCTCTGCTCGCGACCCTCCGCAGACCGCAGACGATAAGGCGTCAGTCGGTCTGCACTTCACTGACCTCATCGTGTTACCCACCATTCCACCAGCCTCCATCTCTGAGTGATATCATAGCGGCATTTACACATCGCGGGGCGTGTCTGGGCAGTCGGAACTGATCACCGCCGCCGGTGTGCAGTGTGCACTGCAGTTTATTTTCAAACGGGCTCGATCGGCGACCGTTCCTTGTCACCCTGTTCTGCACCGAGACCACCCACAGGCGATCGCCGCCGCCACCTCGGGTGTGGAGACGCCTGGGAGCGCCGAGCCCGAGTCCCATGTCACGATGGGCGGACGGTTCGGACGCTGCGCGGATGGGCGCTGCATTCCGACACGTGCCCACTGCGCTGCCGCAGCCGGAGACCCGTTACTGGGAGGCCGGGCAGTGCAGTGGTGCGACGGTCGTCAGCTTCAGCCATGCTGTGAAGCTCAAGACAGGGAGGTCCATAGTCGATATGGTAAAGGCAGTGCGAAGACAGTCTTCCTTGGACGGCGAACTCAGGACTGTCCATTCTCGCGATGCCCATTATGTTCCAGCCATATCCCATGGATGGGATTATGGGATTGTGGATACGCTGAAGGGAGACTCATTATTAGCTCATGAAGGTAATAAATTTATATCTGAATCAGATAAATTGCTGCCCACAACTGCTTTGAAAGCTTTCAAATAACGATTTAGTTATGCTCTGGCGGCCGCTTCACGAGAACGGTAAGAATCACGGAAGCTTCACGAATCATGGAAGCCTCACGAATCACGGAAGCGATTTAGCGGACCTTTTTTAAGCCCATCAAAGCTCAGATTTGGTGGTGCATTCTGCCAACCGCGTGTACGACACGTTTGGATCTGTCCCACAAATATACATACACAAATATGTAAAACATTTATCACTTCTAACCGGCAATGCTGGGATCATGATGAGTTGATTCCTGTGACAAATGTCCGCTTTATTGACAAGATGACGCCTCGAGTCTTGACGTGATTGCTATTGAATGCCGTTTTGTTTAGTCCCCAAAAGGATGGTGCCGTTTGTCATCAGGGTTCAGGATGTGCATTTCCAGTTGTCGGCCATGCCATGGCATAGTTATGCACGACTACCCCGGTAGCCATCTGTTATCTTTAAGTACCTTTAGTGTCGCAGCATCCACACACATTAGTCCCAAAACGGCAGCCCATTTCCGACGACTATATGACGCCCCATCACATATGCTTGTGGTCGATTCTGTTCCACTCTACTCAGTTGAAATCGACTAAATTCATACAATCTCACACAGTCGAAACGGTAAGAGAAGAAAATGACCATACATGAACGTTCATTGCCGAACAAGAATATCACCTGCATGGGAATTAAGTCCTAGAAGTCGCGTGGCGAAGTCCATTTACCGATGTTTTGGCTGCTTGGTTGGTTGGATCGTACTATATTTACTTACGTTGTAGGGTATTATATAAGGTATGATATAGTTAATTACTGCGGTGTGTAATGAGTTATTACGCAGCCTTGAAGTGTACAAATTTATGGTGTCCGTCGCCCTGAAATTACGTGCCTGTGTACTACGGATATACGCTGTGTCACAATAAAACTGGTTGGACGACAGCGGTTTAGCCAGTATCTGGAACCAGCAGACACGCAATGCGCTGCAATTGGAAACGCTGCTGGCCCATAGTCTCGAGGGCGTCGGCTCACTGTCTCGCTACTCAAGAGGTCTGAATGGATGGTTACTTTGGATCGGTCAGCAGCTTGCGGCGTGGGTATCAGGGTGATATATGCAGAGTGTGGCATATGACGACATCTAATGTTTGACTTCAGCGCGTGCAACGTGCATTCGATAAAAGGGTCTTCCCAACACTGAGGTGTTTGCTTGAATGCCATTTCGATACGGGTGTTTGATTTGCACAGCTTATGCCAGTCTGATAACCCTTTTCTTTCGTTGTCAAGGCATGTTGGCTTTCAGTGTTCTAAGACACATCGCCAAGTCGGGCAAGTCATCTTCAGCGCGGATTCGGCTGGCCCCGGGCAGAGCAGCGCGCGTGCACACGTGCGTCGTACTCCCTGCACGGCTGATCCCGATCTTACACCGCCGACGGGCGGCTCCTGCACCGGCGGCGCCGATCCACTCCAGCGGTGCTGGTGACGTCACTGGGTGCCGGTGACGTCACCGTGTGGCCCGCCCCGTGTCCTCGGGTGCTCGTCTGCGGTGCATCCGCCTTCCGCCGGAACAGTCCAGTGCGGTACCGGTTCTGGGTGTCTGAACATTATCGGTCTAGCGGAGACTGCACGTGGGCTGGCGGTGGGAATAGGCAGCACCCCCGCCTGCAATCGCCACAAAATGATGGGTAGCTGCAATGCGACAGGACATTGACCCCTGAACATCCATAGATGCACAAGTCGTGTTCAATGCACAAACCGTTATTTTTAGTAGACCCTAGCCCACGGCCAGCGATGTCTGAAGAGATAGCAAATAGTTTCACATCGACACCGTTTTAGGCATCTATCCATCCATGTCATCCCAACCTCCCAGAACTTCGTGTTGCCACGCCACCTATGTGCCACTCGAGCCGTTCGCTCCTGGCTTGTAGCCACATCAATGCCTAATCCTATGCTAATTCTATTCCGCCTGCCCGGCTGGGTCGGTGCATGTCTGGCGCTGACCGAGCTGTCCGTGTCCGCAGAGGTCGCTGCGTCGGATGAACGTTCACTGGGCGGGCTGTGTCACGTCCACCCTTCTGGGCGTCTACATCGGCATGCAGTTGTTCGCGCTGCTGCAGGGCGCCGGGCCGCCGCCGCCGCCGGCCGTCCGGCGCCAGGAGGAGGGTACGGCGCGGCACGCCGCCTCGCTGAGGGCGGCGCGGGCGGCGGCGGCGCCGCGCACCACGGCCGCGCCGCCGCCGCCGCCGCCCGGCCCCGACCTGCTCTTTGTCGGCGTGATGACCGCTGACAAGTTTCTGGACAGCCGCGCCGTGGCCGTGTACGACACCTGGGGCCAGACGGTGCCCGGCAGCCTCGAGTTCTTCACGTCTGAGACCTCCGGCGGACCGGCAGGTCAGTGCGTGGCGGGGAACCGCCGCCGGTGGGGTCAGCAGCGATACCGTCGGGGTCGAGGGAAATTACGAGGCCTTTGATTTAAAATGAAGGGCTACTGAACTCAATGTGACAACTGAATTGATATTTGAGTGATAATTATTTCTAGGAAAAATATTTTCGCCATTTTCGCTTGTGGGACATTCCCGTTACTTTCTTCACTCTTAAACGACCACGCCGAGACGCTAATGCTCAACTGATGGCCCCTTGAGCGCCGTGTCACGCTGGGTCCTCGCGTCACGGCGAGCCCGAGTGACCACTGTGTGACCCTGAACTAACGAGGTCACGGCCTCACCCAAACGGTCGGTCACGCTGAGTCGGCGTGACCTGGTGGAGGGCGCCTCTCTCAGCAGTGACAGGGCAGGGGTCGAGTAACGCTGCTGTGCCTCGCAGGGCGTGGTCCGAGATTGATGATGCTCTGTTTTGTTGTGCACAAAATCGTTAACCTTGCTACCAAATTTTTATGTCATTCCATACAAACATATGGAACGGACATATGACCCACTATTTTTTTCTTGGCTTTGATCTGCCATGTGAATGTCCATGACGCGGCATATTTTAATTGCGCAATCTCTCACTTGTCAATAAGCTTTTCAGAGACGGAAGGGTGTGCCGTGTGTAATTAATTTTCCACCAATCGTGCTCACCATTTAGCGACAGAATATGCGATTGGCATAATAAGGAAACGTCAGCCTGACGATTTTCGAAGCAAAACGGGTTGTTAGGGGATTGGTGACCATTTGCTGATGCCGGCAGATCTTCCCATCGTGCGCCTACGAGGCGTCACCGACCAGTATCCCCCGCAGAAGAAGTCCTTCATGATGCTGAAGCATATGTATGAAAACTACGGAGACAAGTAAGTGAAGCCTCTGACCCCGTTTCTGAATGATCAATTTGTGCTTGACTGCCCGCTTCGGACGTTTGTGAAGTGTTGTTCCAACCCAGTGGCGGATCCAGGGGGGGGGCAAAATGGGCATTTGCCCCCCCCCCAAACGGCATAATTTTAACATTACGCTTATGGACGATGCATGGAAAGAATCGATAAATTGTCATGGTTTGCCCCCCCCCCCCAAAAAAAAAATCTGAGCTGGATCCGCCTCTGTTCCAACCTCCGCAGCGGCCTTGTTGGCCCTTCCCTTCACTAAGGCTGCTGTGTTTGAGCCACATCCAACGGGTGCGTGCGCCTTGACATGCAGGGTGTGGTTCCCTCTGCGGAACACGAGATCCCCTGGTCATGGACCGCGCTCTCGCGTGTGGGAGTGACCTTACACGACTCATTCAGGGAATTTTCCCTGTTGCCTGTCTGTTGCGACGGTGTATAGTCTAGTTGCTAACCTGGTAAAAAATAGTTGTTTGGTTTGAGGCATGTTTTCCTGGATTAAGCAGTCATGTCTGACGAAGCACATTTACGTTTCACGTTTTACGAAGCCGGTTTACGCTTGACTGATGTCCTGCCATATGTATGGATGAGTATACGGAATCGGGCTGGTAAGGTTGTACTTCCTTACCTTAAAGCCGGCGATGAGCTAGCTTATCTGTTAACCCGGCCGGGCCCGGGGGGTAATCCCAACCACCGCAGCCCGGGGGGGGCGTTTTTCGCCCCCCTGTCTAACTCCGTAAATAAGGGAGCTACGGAAACAAAAGCGATACCAAACGAAAGGTCCTTACGAGACGATTCTAAAGCACTTAAAATTTTTGACCTCAGGTCAATTTTCAAGGTCAGAGGTCAAGGTCAAAGGCAAAATCCGGCACATGTGTAGTGATCTCAAAGTAAGCCTTCTAGAGGACGTCAGGCTGCATTAAACCGGCAAAATTGGGTGTCAAACGAAAGAAGAGAATCTGAGGATTCCGAAAATGTGCTAAAAATCAAAGGTCAAGGTCAAGGTCACGCTCAAAATTGACCTCAAACTAGCACTTTTCGCACATCTTGCGTGCTAGCTTCCAAGATGTTCTGAAATGTTTTGAGGCTTATCAGTTCCCTATTTGTGGTTCATCTTACGATACAAGGCTGCTCAAAGGTCAAGGTCACAGAATAGTATCCCTGCTAGAGGCTATTTCACTGATTCAAGTTAGTGATAATAAATAAGACAATTTTGCCCTCCGGAAGCTCTAAATGAAGGTTTAGAGGAAAATAGATGCCAGATTCGTGATCAGCGGGTACAAATCCATCATAAACGACCTTTAATGTGTCAAGGTCAACCAGAGGTCATTCGAGGTCACATGAGGTCAACATAAAACTTGACCTTTTCCGGACAAAATATATATCATTCGACGCGGCTTGACAAGGCGAATGCGATGGTACCACTGCCGTAGCTCTAGGACCATTTTTGTCGAAGTTATTTGCGAAAAACTAAAACCACATTTCTGGGTCGTTGACCTGACCTCTGACCTCAGGTCACCAAAACTATTTTTCTATTTTTCTGTAGGTCAAACGCTACACAACCGTGCTCGTAATTTGTCTTTATCTCTAAAACTATATTTTTAGCAGCTATTTGAAGTTTGAGTCTGTGACGCCGAAGTTTGCCGTGCAGGGGTCTAGAAAAATAGACGTTGTGACGTCATCAAGGGGGCTAGGTCCAAATTTTTTACTTCAGAAGATGTCAAATTGATAGGAGAAAAGGTACTGAAAGTTTCGCTTTCCTATCCCTAAGCGTTCGGGAGCTATCGCAAATATTCGCCAGGGGGGGGGGGGCGAAAAACGCCCCCCCGGGCCCGCGAGGGTTAAGCATCTGTATCCTCCCTCTCTCTCCCTTCCTATTACGTCTTCTTTCCTCTTGAGTCTCAGTTACCCCTCCGCTCTAGGTTGTACAGCATGCAAGAGTGTTATTGCCTCCTCCCGCGGGTCTTACTCCACCATCACCCGCAGGTACGAATGGTTCATGGTCTCCTTCCACCCTCACCCGCAGATACGAATGGTTCATGGTCTCCTTCCACCCTCACCCGCAGGTACGAATGGTTCATGGTCTCCTTCCACCCTCACCCACAGGTACGAGTGGTTTGCTCCTTCCACCCAGGTCTTAACTATCCCACCCTCACCCACAGGTACGAGTGGTTCATGCGCGCCGATGACGACGTGTACGTCCGCACCGACCGTCTGGGACGCTTTCTGCGCGGCATCAATTCGTCTCAGCCCATGTTCATCGGACAGGCCGGCCTCGGCAACAAGGCAGAGTTCGGACGGCTCAGCCTCGCCAGCCAGGTGAGTTCGCGGCCCACCGGGTCTTTCTGGCCCAATTTTCTTCTTAAATTGGTTCGTCTTTTCTTGTGATGAATTATCCTTCCCATGATGGTTATGGCTCTACTTCCAATGCTTCATCAGAGGACGTCAGTGATGTTCTTTTATTGGCTTTTCTCGTTCTATACTAGTAGTTTAGTCTCGTGCCTCGTTTTCTGAGGTCAGCTTTGGTACGTCGTTGTTTTACTGGGTCATGTATGCCTCTATCACAATATCACAATAGTAGTAAATTATGTCTAAGCGGCGTTTTGTGCGATAAGGAATCGGCTCAGACTCAAAGCAGTTTGCACGCCGATAATGCAAGCCCGAACCCTGGTATTTGGCGTTTCCACAATCTTATCTCGGTCTCAGCGGCTAGGTTATTGTTGGCTTTAGTGTGTTTATCAACGATCCGGCGAGACGAAAGGAGTAGGCTATGTTTGGCGGTAGGGTAAGCACGGGCTGCAAGGCCAGCCGGACCTGAACAACCGTTCTCAATGCTTCCACGACTCGATTCTTTCGCTCCCACGAATGGGACAGTGTTTGTGGGAACAGTCGCGGGCGAAACTGAGCAATGGAGCTGGTCATGGTAGTTCGCGAGTATTTATCTGCGGAGACTATTGATGTGGTACGTGCATGGGGTACTTGCTGCTAAGCGCAGTTTGAATAGACAACTTTTCCTATGTGGCTTTCATGCAAACAACTGGCAGAGCTTCTCGATGCATGGGTACCTGGATAATGGTTATTACAATCGTCGTGGAGGGTTTCTCTTACACAGGAGTTTCCTCTCACACAGTAAAACGAGCTTAGCGCCGTGGTGATATGCTCGTCGAACCGTGACGTAACGCCCCACGCACGTCCGGCGTGCGGGCGCCGTGCGCGGAATCCCGCGCGGTTTCGCCGCTCGTCGGTCCGCTGTTTGGCGCGCTTTCTGTGTCCGCCATATAGAGAGATAAGCCGGCATTTATTGCTTTACAGGCTCAGCTGTGCCCGTTGATCTGGGCGGTAATCTGGTTTTACTGCTGCCGATACACGCCGGCTTCGCCGCGTGAGCCGCTAGTTTTAGACGGAGGAGAAAATCCCAATACCGAGTGTCACCGACGAAAGTGCTCGGACCAACCCGCGCTACCGCTGTGCCGCCGTGATAGCCGGCCGGCCGCCGTGCCACCGCGGCGCCGCCGCCGCTCGCTGCAGCCGTCCCGCCGCCGCACCGCCGTCACCCCGTCCAGACTCAGGATGAGTTGTGAGGCATTGTGCAGGGCGGGGCCGCGAGCAGACGCGGCCGGCGGTCGGTACGCGTGCCGCCGACGCTGCCGAGCCGTAGCAGCGCCGCGGCCGCCACCGAGACCGAGATATAAATTAAAGACATGTCGTTTTAAGGCACGTAGGCCGCCAAGCTGGCGCCTTCAGCCACCTCCCTGCTGCAGTGCAAGTTTGCACTCGTTTTGCACACGTCTTAAGCATTGCGTATAAAATGTGGGTCACGTACGACCCCGGCAGAGTCTCACTTCGACCGTCGCGCTGTGCGCACGGACTGATCTGCCCCGCTCGACGCCTCGCCCGGCTGAGCGGGGACAGAGTACAGAAGCACGCGCGCAGACCGACTCTCCTGCGCGCAGCCGCGCCCGGCGGGGCAGTGTCAGTGCTTCAGATTGTACAGCGAAAGTGAATTGTGCTCCGTGTCTGCGTGTTTCATCTACCGGTTTTCTTCACAACTGCTTCCGCTTCTTGCTTCGCGTATACTTCAATAAATCCTCTACGGGAAATCTTCACGTCTATCTACTACTGAAAATCGCCGAATATCAAAAACCCAGGAGCTCACATAGCAGGCGGGCGGGCTACGAATGTCGCACAAACTCACCGAATAAAATACAGTCCACATCCAACCAGAAAAGAACTCCGAACGACAGTTTGTCGGCGACATTTGCTGGTCCTCCGGGCCGGATCCTGAACTATGGCAAGTGGAGAAGCAAGCCCGTCTCTAGAGCGAATGGGTGAAAGTGACAAAGAAGAAACCGCTGACATGGAAGAAGTACCAGCTGAACCAGCCGCTGCAGGTCAAGGACAAGCTGCAGTGACAACAGTCCAAGAGGAACCACGAGAAGGCCAATGCTCCAACGGGGAGTGGCGGCACCTCAGACAGGTGAGAGGTCGTCATCGGGCGGCTCTCACAAGGATTTTCCGGCGCGCTGAAGCTCTCGTGACAGATAGAGCCTCACGCGTCCAGTTTGGAAATATCCGCAGAGAAATGGACAGCGCTTTCCAAGCGTTGATGGCCGGTCACGAATGTATCTCTGGATACACGCAGAGTGAGGAAGAAAAAGAAAATGAGGCTCAGTACTTAAACGAAGTTCGTACGGAGAAAGAGAGAATCGAGGAGAAAATCGAGACTTTCATGACAAGCACCACAGACGAACTACAGCTGACCTCTACGAGACAGACTGACTTCAGCAAGGATGGAGGAGGGCAGCCTGAAGACGGCTTGGGACGCTCAGTGTCACGCATGACCCGTAGCGTCGCTCGCCGAGCAAGGTCACAGGTTAGTGGCAGCTCGGCGGCCTCTCATGCATCAGCTGAAGCCAGGATATCATCCAAACTGAAGGAGTTGCGTGTGCGCCAGCTGGAGCGAGAAAGGACACGAGAGCAAGAGCTGCGCGAACAAGAACAAAGGATAAGGCAACAAGAACAAAAGATAAGGCAACAAGAACAAGAACTGCAATACGAGAGAGACCTTCAGAAAGCCAGAGATGAAGCTGAAGCTGCCCGACTGGAGGCGGACCTGAGGGAAGAAATGGAAGACGAGCTCAATGCAGACAGGCGAGACGATTTTGTGGATGAAAATCTGGGAGAACCAATCACCGAGAAAAGTGTTTCTCAAAGGCCGAACTGCTCCAGATCACAACTTCGTTTCTCCGAGCCAGTCTCCATTACGCCCAGAGAACCTCTAGAACCTCTAACAGAAATCAGAGAAGAACCTCCGCAACTAGAACCTCCACGAATGGCGCCCAGTCCCGGTATGTCCACAGGCCAGACGTCATGGATAGATCAGCTGCGACCGACAGCTGCACCACGTCCGGCTCCTACGACATCTGCGTTCACTAAGAGCATCCCCCGTCTCCAGCTGCCGACCTTCTCAGGCAAGCCGTCTGAGTGGCTGCGCTGGGTCGGACTGTTCCGAGCGCTCGTGCACGACCAGCCATCGCTCAGCGACGCAGAAAGAATGGCTCATCTGCAAGCGTCAGTGATGGGACAAGCGCAAGAAGCCATCGCTGGCATGTTATTTGACGGCAACCTCTACCAACAAGCCCTCAAAACTCTACAAGATCGTTTCGGCCGAAGCACGGATGTGATTAAGGTACATCTCGAGAAAGTGTTCTCGGCTGAACCTCCTCAGAAAAACAGTGTTCGATCGTTGGAGTACTTCCATTCCGCCCTGCACTGCGCGGTCACGCTCATGCAGGCCCAAGGATATGAGGCGGACCTGTACAGCACAGAGAATCTTCGAAGAACGGTGGTCAAACTGCCAGAATATCTACGGCGTGAATGGGGTAAACATGTGCTCGAGCTCCACCCAAGACATCCATCACTCATCGACCTGGACGTTTGGCTGCTGAAGCAGGTCCAAATTGCATCGCTCTGCCAAACCGCTGAAATGCCGAGTGACAGACGGGGGAGAACCAGAGACCAGACGACTAAGCGAGCAGCGCATGCTACCGCAACTTCGTCACCAGCCTCTCCATCAACGGCACAGAAACCAGGTGGGAATGCGTCGTGTCCGAAGTGCGGTGGTGAGCACAGACTGCACCAGTGTCGTGAGTTCAAAAATCTGGACGTCGAAAGAAGAATCGACCTAATATTCGACAAGGGACTGTGCCTCTGGTGTCTGCAAAGGGGACATCTCGCCAGAGAATGTCACAACACCAAGCTCTGTGGTGTAAATGGGTGCCAGAGACGCCATAATCAGCTGATACATGGCAGCACCAAACGAACCACGCCCCTCACCGACCGCTCGGGAGCCGTAGCCAGTCAGCCTGCCAATGAAACAACTTCAGCGGCAGAAGGAGAAGAGGTACGTGTGGTGGCTGCATCTACCTCCATCGGAAAGACGGGCGGAACTCTTCTACAAATCGTTCCAGTTCGAATTCATGGAAAGAAGGCAGGAACTCACCGTGACACCTATGCTCTTCTCGATTCAGGGTCAGAATCTTCCTTCTGCAGTGAAGCTGTGCTGAACCAACTGGGAATCACAGGACAAGACGAACAGCTGTGTCTTCAGACAGTGGAAGGAACTGGAAAACCTCAAGCATCAACTAGAGTGAAGCTAGAGCTGAGCTCTGTGGCCCCTGGGGAAACTCGAAGAATCATCGTGCCTGAGGCGTGGTCTGTTCCATCTCTCGACATCTCCATGCCGAACGTCTGCAAGAAGCAGCGGGAGAAGTGGCGTCACATCAAGGACTTGGACATTCCTCAGTGCTCCCATGGACAGGTGGAACTGTTGCTCGGAGCTAACGTCAGCGAAGCAGTCATCCAGCAAGAGGTCCGGGTGGGTCAACCAGGCCAACCGATAGCTGTACGTACTGCGTTTGGTTGGACCCTGACTGGCGCTGTGTCCGACCTGCACCCTGGAAAACATGGACGAACTAGAAGAGCGATGTTCATCCAGAAAGGCTCCGCTGCTGACGAGGAACTGGACAACATGCTGAAGGACTGGTGGACAACTGAATCCTTCGGAGCCAAGTATGAAAGGTCAGTGTCACAGTCGAAAGAAGACCGTCGAGCGCAAGAGCTTCTAGAGTCAACAACCACCAAGTTAAACGGCAACCGCTACGAGACTGGCCTCCTCTGGAAGACTGACGACGACACGCCTTTTCCAGACAGCAAGGTGATGGCTACAAAGAGACTACATGGCACCGAGAGGTGTCTGGTAAACGATCAAGAGAAAGCAGCAGCTTACCAGGCCACGATCGATGCATATGTAAAAAAGG